ATGACTGGAGATTAGAAAGGACTAAATAGAACTTGAAACTGAGATGATTAAAGTTGCTAGCGAAACATAAATGCAGGATTTCATCAACACTGAAATCCTACATTAGATTCAATCTATTTGACTTTCTTCAGTTTGAACGGGAATTGGTTGCATTACAATTAAAAATCGAAAAAGGTTGATGATGGAACATTGATAATTCACAGAGCAGAATGGCGATCCATGTCAACATGTACAAGAAGAATTAATCAGGTAGTATCGAGGCTCTGGTCACAACAAATTTAGACCTCGATCTGTTTCCCGTTTATGCTGTAGCAGTCTACTGCGATGCTAATTTTTCTTTCACCCATATCTAGGATTGTAGTCGAATTTTTGAGACATAAGTGCACTTTCGTGATAAATGACATCAGGGGCGGCGCGAAGAGGTCAAAGCAGGGGGTACTCTCTCCCAATCCCCTCCCCCCGCCCCGCTCACGCCGCCCCTAAGTGACATTTACATCTACAGTTATGTAGATTGAAATTTTGTCATTTTTATGGTTGCTGTTATAGATACATATGGTTACCTATATGTTAGTAATAAAAATGTTCGCCTACAGATAAGAGCAAAGCAATTTTATGACTACTTTCTCATAGTCTACTTGATAGTTTTATCATTTATATAGATTCATTCACACTTAGTCATATTCTCTTTCAACGAAGAACCTTCGATAACAGAAAAGATGACTGAGTCATGGGATCGACGTACGTATCCTGTTATATTTCAGTTATGCACTGAGTCAAATTTAGATTGTGTTGAACTGTACTGTTCATCCAATAATTGGACTTCACCACTTGCAAGACTATCATATGCTTACAAAAATTCATTATCTTCTCGGCAAACGAAATATGTGTATTTGCATACTCTTTCACTTTTGCCTGGCGATTATGAATACAAATATAAAGTGAATAATAGACTACCGTGGGTATTGAATACTGAGGAAAAAATACGAAATGATAATAACTAGTAGACGGACGAGATCGATATTCAACAAACGAAAGTGATGATGCAAATAGAAGCGTTGATTACTGCAATACTGGTACATTATTATTCAAAAATCGCTTACTATGGGATACTGAGCTTATTGTCAATAATACACAATATTACAAAGCTCATAGAGCTATTTTATCAGTTCATTCTGGCTACTTTAAATCACTTTTTGACAACGACAACTTGAAAACTCCAACCGAAATACAAATACAAACTGATGATTTGCCTAGTTTTCATATTATGTTTAAATTTCTATATACTGGTATAATACCAAGTTCTCTTGAATACAAACAGTTAAAATTATTATTACAAATCGCTAATACATATCAAATACCAACACTTATTGAAATTATACAACAAAACTTAGCCAGTACAAATATCGATGTTAATAATTGTTTACTATTATTGTCCATGGAAAATGAATTACAATACCATTGGATAAAAGTACGTCGATTAACTATACAAATTGTAGCTGAAAATTTTAGATATCTTTGCCATCAAGATGAATTCTTGAATTTAAATTATAACATCATTCAAGATATTCTATCACATTCAAACCTTCAAATTCCTAATAGAACAATGGTCAATATGGCTATACATCGATGGTTAAATGCAAATATAGAAATATCTCCTGATTTATCACAATCGATTACAATACTAGGACATTATAGGCATGCAAGAAATCGTTTTTCTCTTCTTTCATCAATTGTATGCTATTTTACTGATGGAAGTACACGATATACGAATATGACAATAAATACAATTAATTCATTTCTAAGAACAACTCCACAAATAATGGTTGGTCTATTGATTAAAGACAATGATACTCGAGGTCATGTTATGTCTTGTATTGCCAAAACTTATCCTTATCGTATTTTATGTAAACATACATCCAAGACATCACATTTTAATGATTGGAATCCTACACAATATAAATTCAATATTCTTAAATTTCTTGATCATGGTTTTGATGAAATTTATTGGATGGATTCCGATACAATTGTTTATCAAGATTTAACATCATATTTAGAAGAATTTCGACGTTCTTCAAAATTATTTTATTTCATTCTTGATCATGTCATGTATGATTCATCATTTGTTGCCAAATGGAAAAAACAACATCAAGATACATTTATACCACAAGCATGTTTTATGGGTTTTAAATCATCATGTATGAGAACATTCTTTGGTCTGTGGAAAAATGCATGGAAAACATGGATTGAACCAAAACCATTTACAATGTATCAAGATCCAAATCCAGATTTTATTGAATCAAGTTTTTGTACTGAACAATATGCATTGGGTAATGCAATATCTGATTTCATAGCACAAGAATCTTTTTCACATAATTATCCATATGATTATAGAGAATTGATATTACCTATTCAACGAAAATTGATTATGATTGAAACAAATGAACGACTCGAATTATTTTATCCATCGTCCAAATTACAATCTATATTTCGTTCTCGTGCCTTTATTTCTTCTTCACCTTATTCTTTTGTTTTGAATACATATTTTTTGAAGAATTCATTCTATCGGATATCTAATTATCAAGGATCTACGAACATATCCATGTGGTGTTCCATGTTTTCGTATTCTTGCTCAAGTGAAGATTCATTTATTGATTCATTTTTTGATTGTATATTTCATTTCTATAATCAAAACTATGAAGCCGGTTATGAATGGTATTTCAAAAACTTCATCAAATGTTAACAGATGTTTACTAATGATGCTCGATTCCATTAAATTGCAACATCAAATGAATACAATTTTCGATAAAATCAATTATAAACTTTTCTTCATTTTGTAGAACTTGATTTAAAAGAGTGAATGTGGATGTAGGTCTTTTTCTTTTTTATTCTACTATAATCAACAAAATAAAGAAAGTTTTCAATATTTTTGATTCTCTCTCAATAAGATACAATGTATATCATCAAATTTAAGGCAAAACGTTGACTATAGCTCATATTCGGTTAGTCAGGAAGATTCATTTTTTCTTCTTCAATTCTATTTTATGACCTCGTTTTATTATGAGTTGCTATGTTATCCAGACCAATGATTGGAAAGCGAACGTCAGTCATTCATTGGTGTTGCATGTGCATATAAATACAAACAGACTCATCTCATTTACATACATTGAGCGCTTGGACATTTTCCAGCTAAGGCGAACATATTCATAATGACACAATGTCATATTACTGTTCCATTCAGAGAAAAATCACAAACGAAAAAAATTACAAAGAAGAATTTCAAGAAAAAATTGTCGTCAGGTAATAATAGAAATATGAACGATTATGAATCAATACTTTTGAAATTGTCTTAGAACTATCTAAACGTTTCTCAATAGTAATGAGAACCTTTTTTTCTTTTATTGATCTTAAGAACGAAAGACATACTGAATTGTTACTAAGTTCATAAAAGCCTAAAGAACTAATTACTTTACTCCACAGTCTCATAGGAAATA